GGCGTGCCGATCAGAGATTATTGTCAGGTTCGTCCTCCTAGTGACATGGAGCTGAATTTTTCAAAAAAACCATCCATAGCTATCAACATTCTCTCCCTCAACAATGTTGAATGCCCAAAAAAGTCGTCTGAAATGGCGTTTGTTACCTGGCTGTGGCAATTGTATCTCTTCATCTTGGTATGGAGGGGAGAAAACAGTGCCAGGGTTAGACGCCTCCAATGCCAAAATCAACCTGGAAAGGAATGCATATGATTCTTCCCAATCACCAAATACGGCGGCTAGAGCTTTCTGCTTTCCATGCCACTCCTTCTTATAGTTAATCATATAACCATAACGACTTCCAATGTTAGCGATTATGACTTTCACCTTCAGGTCAGGATCTTGCTCAATTAGATGCTTGATAGCCGCAGCAACCACCCTGGATTTCAACTGTCGATGGCCTTGGGATGTTATGGATGACACACATGTGTGTGTTCACTGCACGGGATGTGACCCAATGGTCGTGTCTCTTGCTGTTGATGGCCTGAATCCTAACATTGCATCCCTCGTTATGATTACGACATCTGACTATGAGCCTTTTCGTGTTGGAATGAGTTGTGTGCCATTCAAAATGCCGAGTCATTGCTTCAGTATCAATGGCGTATCACACCTCCTTCTTCGAGCCAAGTTGTTGGCCTTTCATAAACCCAGAGAGTGGACCCAATACTGGAACCTCTGAGGGTTCCATGTCGCTGTCGACAATCCAATTGCCGTCTGGAATGTGATTGTAGTAGGGGACTAGTACACAGTCATGAGCCACCTCATCATCATTATCTAAGTCTGACTCTGGTCCTGAATCATCACCACCTTCAAGAGGGTCGGAGTTGTCTGCACTGCGTTGTTCTCTCGTTCTTCATCGGAGGGGTCACTAACCGGTGCTGACAGCAGGGGCGGAGCTACAAGGTTGGAAGGGGGTGTCATGGCACACCCTTGATTTAGGGGAACACTTGCAAATCTTAGTTGAGTAAATATTACTCATAATGAAATTTGAACCCCAAATCTCAGTATCAATTGTTAAATTTTTACAATTCAATCACAATCAATTATATAAATTAATCCTACCTACGAATTTCTATATTAATATAGTCTAGTTTATTAAACTGAATAAGAGGATGCAAATTATTAGAGGAAATCATTAAACCTTTCATGATAACGATAGTCCGAAGAGAAAATTGGTTCTCATCAATATATTTTCTTGTGAAACTTGGTTTAGTTTGCTACTACCTTTTGTCAATATAGATGTTGATATTATCAACAACAAAAAATACATATCGATATAAAGTTTTCGGCAATGAAACGATTGACCAGCCTTCGACATAATTGAAAAATTTGTGAATGATTATTTGGTGGGATAATATTAAGAGCAAATCTTCATAGTTTGGACAATTATGTAGTTTTAAAATAATTTTATTATATCAAACAAGCGATCGCATCATGAGTTATGGTTCACAAATTATTTCATGCACACCTTTGAATGAAATTCTGGCTACGCCACTGGCTGGCAGAGCATCTTCCATCTGATCCAGCTCATGAAAGGCACCTTCATCACCTCCATAATGGTAGTTGTGAAAACTACCTCTGCCTGATTGGAAGTTGTACTGGGTTGGTTGGTATGGTCCGGTTGAACTTATTCTTCATACGACGGGAAAGATTGATGATGACCTTCACCTTGCTCTTGGTACTGAAAATAGGAATGAGGATCATGGCAACTTTGGTAGGGATGATCTCCATAATATTCACCTCCACCATGGATACCAGATGTTTGACCGTCTCCAGAATGACCTCCAACGCCTACGACTGCCTCGGTGTAAACGAACATCTCGGCTTTGGAAAGATTGTTGGACCTCTAGAATTCGAGCATGACATCTACTTCATCCTGAGTGGTTATAAGATATTCCTCGTGCCACAACGACCCGCCTTCTCTGTTTGGATATCGGTACAACATACGATCAACTCTTCTCGTGCCATCCATGCAAGTAACGTTAGTACCATTTGATAGAGGTCTTCAAGCATCGGTCTTGTAACGACCTTTATTTTCTGAAAATTGCCACCGACGTAAGTGACCCCCTTTCCGGTCTCTTCCGTGTAACCATTCCACCGTAACCCATGCGTGAACTATTGGAATGCCATCTGCAAAAAAATCGTAGTTTAGTTAATATCATAAAAATCACAAATCACAATAAAAAGTAATACAAAATAAACTTACGAGTTAACGTTAACCGCAAAAACACTAAAGAAGTAGGGAGCTACAACAGAAAATTGAAAAGGGAGAAGGAGAGGTGTGAAGAGAAGAGGTTGTTTCCCGGGCTGTTTTTTATAGGCAAAATCATCAACGAAAACCGCATGAGGAGGGTGTTGTTTTCATCTGCCATGCAGCCCAACGTCTGTCAACCTACATGGCAACATGTTTGATTTCGGAAAATAATTACGACACACAAACCGCATTAGGGGGTTGCGGTTTGTGTGGGCAAAACCGCACTTTGGGGGTGCGGTTAAAAACAAACCGCACCCCCAAAGTGCGGTTTTGCTAGGTCAGCCCAAGAACCGCACCTTAGCCATGCGATTCTGTTAGGTCAGGCCCAGAACCGCATGACCAAGATGCGATTTTGGCCCAAAATCTTAAACCGCACCTTGGGCATGCGGTTTACATATAAACCGCACCAGGGGCATGCATTTCACAATCAAACCGCACCTTAGAGGTGCGGTTTTTAAAAATGGGTGCTATTTTTGTAATTTCTTTAGATTGGGTGCTATTTTTGTAAATTTTTTTAAAATGTGCTATTTCTGGAAAAATCTCATTTTTCACAGTATTATAGAGATGTATTGTTGTTCATGGAGATGAAAAGTATTTGTTAGTCGAATGTAGTTATAGTGTGAATCTTGTGGGTTAATCATTGTGGTTAGTGGTTAATTACTAATAAAAAAAACTATTATTTTACTAATCACATCCAACTCATTACCACAACTTGTGGGGGCGGTTAACCACAATGTTTGCATTGTTGTAGTTTGTGGGTTATCCACAAATTGAAAACCAACTTCCACCACGATGGTTTTTCTACTATGTTCATTGTTCATAGATGGTAGTAGAAGTGTATTTTCCAATATTGTCAGAACCGAACGGGATTATGACTCGGTAACGTGAACAACTTTGTCTTTAGCGGTTCAGCCGACATTAGACCGTTTAAAAACCGTTTGAGAACCGGTACCTAATAAACAGTCATCTATATAAATAGTAGACACTTCTTAATCATGGTAAATCATAAGTAAATTACTCTCTTAAACAATTCTAGAACATCAATACCAAAAGATAAAAAATTCAATTCCAAACCACCACATTGTTCCAAAATAAAAGCAGGGGAACTGTAGGGGCAGTACGCAGAGCAAGGGATAGCAATAGAGCTCGGTGCAGGGGAGAGGCACCAGTGACCGATGCAGGGGAAGGCAGCAGTGCTGGAGAAGGGAGCGATGTGGGGAGCGGCCTACGGTGGACGACGGGCGATGGCGAGCGGGGATGAGGATGACGGGGAATGGCGATTTGGGGATTGGCGCGTTGACTGGCAATGGGGACTGGCGGCGGGCGATGGCGACAGGCGAAGGTATCGGCGATGGCGACGGGGAACGACGACGGGTAATGGCGACTTCAACTAGGAAGGAAGGCGGCGCCTCCTTGCACGATGGGAAGGAAGAGTCAAAGACGAAGACAAATCAAAATAGGGTTTTGTTTCAGATAGCCCGACCCTCCTTTTTCCATTTTTTAATTTTTAGTTTTTTTTTAATTAATTCAACCGGCCCAATGGGAAAAGTCGGACGAGCGGCTCGAGCAGTTAACCACTTTGGCCGCTCGCCGACCGTCCTTGAGACTTAAGAGCCGTTCCGGCTAAATAGCTTAGCCGAGCCGGTTTCGCGACCGGATGGCGGTTTTGGTGGTTCGGCTGGCTCGGCTCGGCTTTGATAAATACTATTTTCCTTTTTGAGTTAATACCCAATTTCATTTGAAATTTATAGTAAAAAACTATTATGGATAGTACTTTTAGAAAGTTTTACAATGTTTGAATGTTTAAACCTAAAGGGCAGTCTAACCTTTCTTTCATTGCCTCTTAGTCTTGAGATATTGCATGATTTCAAGACTAATGAGCACATTATCGATTATCTAAAAATCCAGATTGATCCATTCTACTTAGGTGAGATAATATTGGGAAAATGAATTATCATTCATTTAGCCAGAATTTTTGCTATGATCTTATAAACATTTGACAAAGACTAGCTCGGCGAATGTATTTCATTGTCTCAACAAGACCACTTTAGTGGATCAATGCCAGTCAAGTGTGATTAACCGTTTTAGCAAATGGCCAGAGAAAGAAAAAAATCTAACAGCCTCAATCACGTATTGAACAACAATATTCCAATATGTCTGGTAGACTCGTACAACTTACGAATAAAACATTAAAACCTCATAATCCTAGTGTTTGCGTAAGTCCAATGGAGAAGACTGCACGTTTGATCTCCCCTTTGCTTACTGACACAGTGAACTCCCTATTTATAGTATCTGAAACCTTATTTCATTTCTGTAGGCATTACCAAAAAAGCATACATGTCCTACACTTGACAATACGAATGGTACAAGGTTTAATGAAATTGAAAAACAATATCTGACTTTTCTACTTCTCCCATAATCCAATTTTCACTAGAATCATGTAATCCATTAAACAACACACTCTAGATTCAGCCTCCAAAATAAGTCTTCAGCCGCACACTGGCGTGTCAACCGGCCAAGATCAGGTGAATAAGTCTCTCAGCCATTGAACCTCATTTAAATCTAATGGCTCTAATTGATCTCATTTAATGAAGGGTAGTAAAGTAATTAAATGATTTAATTATTAACCAATTAAAAAATAAAAATAGGCGGACCTGCACCCGTCGACGTCATCTTCCCGACGCAACTACCGGCACTTTGCGGGACTTTATTCTCCTGGGGCGGCACCGGTGGACCTGCACCCGTCGACGTCATCTTCCCGCCGCGACGCAACTACCGGCACTTTGAGATTGGGCATCGCGGAGAGGAGGCGAGTCTGGCCGGAGGGCGACGAGGAAGGGGATGAGGAGGAGGAAGGATCGGAGGGAGAGCGGGGCGACGACGGTTGCTCAACGTCGAAGGCGGCGACCGGAGGAGGAGCAGCAACAGGAGCTCGTTCCTTTCCTTCCGCCATCGTTCCTTTCCTGGGAAGTCTCCCGCCGGCAGAGAGGAATTTCTTTGCCCCAACGTGATTTTGTGCGCCGCCCAGAGAGAGAGAGTCTCCCGGCGGCGGAGTGGTTTTTTTTTTCCAACGTGATTTTGTCCACCACCGACTCAGTCCCCTCCAAATTTCGCCTCCCAGCCCGTATCCATCCCCGGCGGTCTCTTTTATGGGAATTGGAATTTTCCCTCTGCCGTGGGGATAGAGAGAGAGGTCTCAGTGGGGATTTTTTGTTACACACGCGGGGGGGGGGGGGGGGGGGGGGGGGGGGGGGGGGGGGGGGGGGAGAGAGAGAGAGAGAGAGAGAGAGAGAGAGGATTTTTCGACGAAAGTTGCAGTTTGTTATGTTTGTCAGACTATTTTGTAATGTTTGTAAGTCTGGTTTGTAATTTTGTATTAATTTGGTTTGTATTGTTTATTATTCTAGTTTGTATGTATTATATAACTAATTTGTATATATTGTAATTTATAATGTTTGTTTGCCTATTTTGTATACTTTATATTTATTAGTTTGTAATCTCACTTTATCGATTTGTATTATAAGTAGTGGTATTTTATACAGTTAGTATGGCATGTACAGTTTGTCGGTTTGTTTGTAAGCTTTGTTATTTTTGTAATCTTTATGGGTTACTTTTGTAATGTTTGTAAACTTTGTTATTTTTGTTCATCATGTTTGTAATGTTTGTATACTTCTGATTTGTATGCTTTGTATGCAATGTAGTATGATTTATATTGTAAGTAGTTGTATTTTGTACAGTTAGTATGTTTTGTATACCATGTACAGTTAGTATGGTATGTACTGTTTGTCGGTTTGTAAGTAAGCTTTGTTATTTTTGTAATCTTTATGGGTTACTTTTGTAATGTTTGTAAACTTTGTAAATTTTGTTATTTTTGTTCATCATGTTTGTCATGTTTGTAATGTTTGTATACTTTTGATTTGTATGCTTTGTATACAATGTTAGTATGATTTATATTGTAAGTAGTTGTATTTTGTACAGTTAGTATGTTTTGTATACCATGTTAGTATGATTTGTATGACTACCACTTGATCTCACCACCGCCGTCGATGGGTACCTTAGGAAGCCGCCACCGGTCAATAAATTATTTTGACAATTAAATTGTTTCGCCAATCTGAGCAAACTTATGGCTACCAGCACATATAGCCACTACTTCATTTATTTTCTCTTCCCCTTGCTTTTATATTGTGTGGTTGGTGCAGGAATTCGGGCTAGGGTGGAAAGCAGTGGCGGCGGGTGTCATAGGCACATGGAGCAACTTTTGGGAGCGCCGGCGGGGTGGGTGGCGGTGACATCGCCGAATCTCTCTCATCCCCTGTCGCCTCCGTTGCCCCCGTTTTCCGTCAAATCCGCCTTTGGAGATGTTTCTATCTCCTCCACTACCGTCGTTGATATCGCCTCTCCCTCCTCCATCGTCGCCTGCGCCGCCGCCATCTCTCTCCACCGCACCATCTCTCTCTCCATCTCCGCAACCTCTCTCCTCAACCGGCGTTTTGATCTCTCTCATCCTTCACCGTCTCTCTCTCTGGACAACACAACGGGAAAGGAAGAGAGAATTGGAGAAGGGTAAAAGGTAAAAATAATAAATAAAAAAATGGAAAACAGGATTTAATTATTTTTTTAAATACCAAAACTACCCCTCTAATTAATTGCTACCCTTCCTTCATCTGGACCATTAGATCTACCCATTCTAATCTAAGGGCTGAGGGGAGCTTAACCACTTGACTAAGCACCCCCCTTAGTCGCCTGATCCGGACTCCGTGTCAACTCAGCCTCTAGAGTCTAGACTGCCAACTTGCTCCCAATTTATTTTTGGTTCGGCTTTAAGTGCTTCTATCAAATCTTGGAGCGTATATATGTATATCCCAAATAGAGAAAAATGTCTTGAAAATTGCACTTCCACCCTTCGCCCAAAGCTTACACAATTTTTTCTCACTTTGCTCCAACCAAATATCCGCATAATCAGGAATTTCTTCAATGGGTTCAAAAAAAAAAAAAATTTCTTTATTAGTACACGATATATATTCTAAAATTTCATAATAAACTACAACGTATTGAATATTTTTGGGTTAATAGCATTTTGTACTACTCTGCTCCTACAAATTAAAAAACCTACCTCTTTACTATTTTTTTCACAAACATACCCTTCTAACATTAAAACGTAACAAATATGTCCTTCCGTCTGGTATTCTGTTAATTTACCGTTTAATAGGTTGGAAATGACCCAAATACCCCTAGTTTACTTCTAATTTATTTTTAATTATTATTTCATGTCCCAAGTTCCAACTCAATTAAAAATTAAACCCTACCTTAAGCCTACCCCTAGTTTAGTTCTAATTTATTTTTAATTATTATTGCGTCAAAGATTTAGCAAATATCAGATGGCGTCGGCAGTGGGACTGGGGGATGCATGTACAAACTTTGGCATTGTGATTGGCTAAGCAAACGGAAATTGATTAAATCCAAATTAATGGGTGATAATGTTCGTAATTCTCTGTTTCTGTTCTCTCTTTTCTCTCAAAATTCTCACTTTAACAACTCTCTTTTAATTGAGGGATTAATAATTATAATTAAAATTATGAAAGTGAGCACTTTGTTTGATTTGATGGGGGCTACCTACAGATCTCATTATCCGAATCCATTCCATGAACCTGGTAAAGGGGGGAAAAAAACATTTCGAGGACTAGCCACAGTTCCCTGAGTCCATAAGCACCACTATTTGTTCCAAATGCTAATTATTCCATAGAGTAAGTCACTAAATTGACACTTGGTCCGTGAGACGATGCCTTGCTTTATGTTTTGTGTGCACCTTTCTACGATGAAACGTGAGCCTGGTTTCATTTGTCCTTTGTCGGTCCCCGTTTCCTTTATTTTTTCGTTGAATTAATATAATTATCATAATGTGTTAATTATAAAAAGTTATCGAAGATCAAAATATAACGGTTCAGAGTGTAATAGAAACACAATAACAAAATTTGCTCAGAGAGCGTAATGTAGCAAATGGTAAGATAAAAAAAAATATATATAGCAAATGGTAAAATTAAGTGGTCTTTCGTCAATAGAATTTATCAGTTATTCAGTTTTACTTTTTTCCCCTTATATTGACTATATTGATGTCATTTGGAGAATAGGAGCTCAAATGTCCAGGAGAATTCAAAAATTATAACTCATTGAATTATTGGAAAAATATTTTAAAATAAATTATATTTTTTTTATTAAATGACATGTATATCCTCAATTAGAGTGTCTAGGAAAATATTGATAATTTATCGCTCAGGGTATATCTGATGGGATAAATAGAAAAAGAAGAGATAAAATAGGACAAAAAATCTCACAAATCAAGATACAAGTTCTCTTCGTTGATGAGATATATGAATCTCTAGATATTAGAGATTTCAAATATTTGAAACTAAAATTCACATTAAAAAAACATAAATTTTTGTTGAACCTATAAATTCAATGTCCTAAACTTTTTTTTTTTTGTCCAAACCACCCTAAAAGCCTACCAAAACAAATGGTTTCTTTATCAGTAGAAGCCTAATGAAGACCGACCGACCTCCCTTTTATTTGCACAAATTCGTTGACCAGCAGCACTATTACCATCACCCACATGTTTTGGGAGCGTAGAACAAAGCTAAAGCCCATGCACGCACCCGCCAACAAAATAAGATTCCAAATTATGGGTTGAGAGAAAGCTCGTCGAATGTATACTATGTTATTCTTAATCGCTTGGTTGGATTATTGCCACTGGTCAATACAGTACCGGTCTTAGGTTCTTAGCCAGCACCAGGAACTTAAAATCCGAAAGGGAACCATTTTTTCGTTTGCTGCCCTCTGCGGGTGACCCGGAAATTTTATTCTGAGTAGTCTTTTTCAAAAATTAAATCATAAAATAAATATTTTTGTTTTAAGTATATAATATACTAAATTAGAAAATACCATACTAGTATAAATTACAACATATTTTCATATTCCGAAAAAATGTAAAAATACATTTTGTATCTAGAATGCTAAACAAATATATCTCAATATATCTTTCTAGCCTGTCATTCACGAATTGATAGCTTATTTGATTCCGAAGTTTGTTCTTGATTTAATCCAAAGTTGAAAAATTTCTTTGCAATTGGCAAAACCAATACAAGTTTGTGACACAAATAGACAGATGAATACGATCATATGGCTAAATTGGAGGGTAGAGGTATCATAGGAACGATCAAAGAAGATGAATCGACTCGCAAACTGTTTTGTTGCTTATTTTACATTGCTTCGTCAAATACCATAAGTTTAAACTGGACATTGTCCTCAAGGACCAAATAATCGTGAGCAATGAAAAAGATTGTAATAGGTTATCTCATTTGTTGTACTAATTTAGAATGGATTAAGGAGAATAGTTAGTTTCCTTGATTGCATAAGAATACACTAAATGATAGTGCAAAATAAACAAAAACAAAACAGAAAAGATAGATAATGGAGACAAGCTGGTGCTTATGATCCATATTAATATCCAAGAAAACGAAAGAGAAACAAAATTCTCAATAATATAGAAAATGTCTATTGATGTCCACTGCCTCCTTCTCCTTGCCCCGAGAAGAAGTTATCAAACTTATGACCAAACTCACTTATCCAATCATGGCTCCATTGTTGATGTGCCTATGTCTGTATTCTCCTAACTCGAGTCTCCTCTAGGTCCTCTCTATAATCCTGCTTGAAGCCTACCTAATGTTGCTCATTGATCGTCTGGTACTCAAGAAGGGTTGTCACTTGTCTCTGTACGACTTCTCTCAAGGATGTTATCTCAGCTCCATAATCTTGATACTATGATGGTGGTGAGGAAGATGTGCCAACTTCATGTCACTATCACTCTTGAATCATCTGAAGGTGCACAGCTGGCATGGCCATCTTGCCTTCACCCAAGCATCATAGCTACGACAATCCTCTCTGGCGTGGTTGGCTCAT